CTACTACTTGGTTGAGGCAGTAGCCTGAACCTGTAGGGACCCTGGAGACTTTGTCCTAGAAGAATTCGGAGACCGTGGAGAAGTAAAGAGGGTGGATTTGTACAGGCAGAAATTCCGAACTGTGGCTACCTATCACCATTTCCTGGGGAAGTTTTCATAAGATATGCAGGCTGGGTCCACCCCACAGCTACTCAGTGGCATGGACTGTAAACCCAGCACCCCAGCTGATGTAGATGAGCACCCCTGGCTAGGAAGCCCTTGCTGGGACCTTGGTTAAGGCACGAGGGCTTCAGTCTTGAGGGGTGACCCTGACCCTGACATTGCTCATTTGGAATTAAGTTTAACTTCCCTGCCAACAGGGCAACTCATCAATAGAACAGTGACTTTTAGGATCCTAAAGTAAACCTGGCCAGTATAACACCCAGTTTTAAGAGAAGGAAGAACATACAGAATAAGAATATTAATATTTATATAAATATTAATAAAATCAAGTGTACACCTATGTCACTTTTTCAGTGACATTGAAGGTGAATGTTTCACTGGTGACATTCTACAGGTGAAGGCCCTTCTATCTCTTCTGTTGCTCCTAGGCCTCACCCAGGAGCTCACCTTGCTTCCCCGAAGGTTTTGTTTGGGTTGAATTATTGTCCTTTTGGCTCTGAGCACATTGGACTCACAATAAGCCTTCCCTATTCCGAGACCTGAAACTGAACCCGGGAGCACCCCTCCCCTGGGCACCAGCCTGCCCGCCGACTGCTTGCCTCAGCGTGTGCTTGTCTGTCTGCCCGCAGTTTGCTGTAGAAAAGCTGACCGAACTAGAACACTGGAAACGGGAGCTCCAGGACGAGGCCCACACCCTCATAGATTTTTTCTGCGAAGACAAAGAAACCATGAAACTGGATGAGTGCCTTCAGATATTTCGAGACTTTTGCACCAAATTCAGCAAAGCGGTTAAGGTACGGCAGGTGGCATCTCTGTATTTTCTGAGCGGTTCGGATTTTTATTTTTCTTCTTCCAAACCCAGCCAGCTCTCTGCCCATGGCAAGGAGATGGTTGAGCATTTATGGGCGTTCAGGAAGGTCGGGCGCCAGGCTCTCGGTCAGGATGAGGAGGAAGTGGTTCTGCCACCCCAGGCCCGAACGCTTTCATATCATCAGGTGTCCAGCTTGTGGGGACAGCGGTGGTGGGTGGTAGGTGCCAACATCTGCAACTCTGAGGCTCAGGACATTACCTACTTTAATGCCCTAAAAGCATTTTCTTAGTAAGATTTATTTATGATGGCAGTCACCATATTGAAAAGTATCTTCAAAGATCCTGAAAGTCTTTCTCAGCCCCTCCCCAGGAGAACATATCCTTTGCCAGGAGACCTTGGTCGCAGTGGGATGACCATCGAGCCCTCTGTCACTGTTTCCAGCCCAATGGCCATCGCCAGGGGTTGGTGCCGTGGGAACCAGGCTGTCCTTGGCCAGAGCCGACTTGGAAACGCTCAGATATCTAGGGAGGGTGCTCTGCTGTCTGAGTCCACCTTACCCTTCAGCCATCAATCCCAGTCATCTCTGAGCTCACTGCAGAAGCCAGAAAACTCTCTGGGTTGCTTGGCTTTGTAAATAAAACTTTCATTTCAATGAAAAACAAAGCACCTCATCTCCCTTCCTTTCTGGTGGTGATGAGAAACCTAATACATGTACACCGTCTCTTCCTCTGTATTTCAAAAGCAGATTTGCCCGTAGCTGAGTTTCTTTGAAGGGCTGGTCCAGTTTCTCTCCAGCCAGAAGTGAATAGACCAGAGTTCCTTGATTTCTCGGTTCCCTCCTTCCTCTGTCCAGCTAAACGAAGGAGGCTCAGGCTCTGGCCACACTTACACTCCCTTGTCCCAGCAGTGAGCTCAGCAGGGGAAGCGGTGGTGGGTGTAGGTGCCAGATTGGCTCTTGCTGAGGCCCTCACTCCCAGTCGGAATCCTATAGGCTCTCGGGCCACCTGTGTGATGCTCTCAGCCCAGCTGCCCCGAGAGCCAAGAGCTGGCCCCTCCCCCGCACTGGCAGCCAGTTGGAGCCAGAGCCTCACAGACACTTGGACAGGAATGTCCGTTTGCAGAAATGAGCTTTCCAGTAAAATGTGCTACCGATAACAGATTTGGGTGGTGATTTCCATGGCAGGAGTACATTCAAAGTGCACAGCCAGGCAGTAAAGTGTGCTTCGTTGTGTGCATTTGTCCTGTTCCAGAGGACTGGCCATTCGGAGCAGGGTGGAAGGTGGAGGATTTGTCAGGCAAATCCTTCTCTCTGGTTGTGGGAAGGGCATGGGGCACAAGGGACCAAGCCACCCTGGCATTTCTGGTGTTTGTTTGTTTTTGTGTGTGTGGTGTTTTTTTTTTCTACCAGGGAGCAGCCAGAGAACAGAGATTTGAAAAGCCTCTCGTAATATCTTGGGTGTACTTCATTTATGCATCCATACCCCCACTAGGTAGAATGTGCTGCACAGGAGTGTGTGTGTGTGTGTGTGTGTGTGTGTGTGTGTGTGTACCCATGCAGGACCACATGGGGTTTCCTTGGAGTTGAGGTCATAGGTATAAGTGGAGTCACAGCCCACACTGCGGGGACAGTGCCTTGACCCGAAAGCTGGAAGTTGGGCCCAGGCATCTGATGACAACCTTAGACGGACTTTTGGAGCCAGAAGTAGTGTCTCCTCTGGTCACCCCCACGTAGCTCTGGAAGAACCCAGCCCCCACACACAAGGGCAAACGCACAGCCTCCCCCTGATGCCCATGGCCCAGTCTCTCCTCCACCATGTGTGTCTCACTGGGGTCTCAGGGTAGGTGGCTCTAGAATGGCACAGGGGTCCCAGGTATCTGATGCATCTTTGGGCTTCTCTCCACCCCTCGTTCAGGACAACCACAACCGGGAGGTACAGGAGCTGAGGCAGCTGCGGCGGCTGCAGGAGCTGGAGCAGAAGC